GGCCAAAGACTTGGAGAATATCCGGCACTGCAACTCCCAAAATCTCAGAGGCAGCGACGATAATGTCCACCAGCTCATTGTCAGGATAATAGCTGCGACGCAGGAAGCCCCCATCTCTAACGCGGCATTTGGCTTTGTTCTTAATCTCATGCCATACTTCGAGACCCTGCTTCTCAATGACAAACTCTTCAACGATTTCAAACACTAGACCGTACATGGTGGCTTTGATTCGATTCAGTTAGTTGTTCAGCTCGAGATGGATTGATAACAACGAAAATGTCAGATTTCCTTTCACAATGAACAGCCCGAAGCCTTGGATTTTGATTTTTTGTGAGAGGTGGGTCCGAAATCTGAAGACGAGCTGTCATCGGCTTGTCGTCTGTCAAGTCGGTGAAAATTATCGGGTGGGGACCTGGCGCAATCTTATTACAAGAACTAACAGGATTATCGGTGGCAGTGTGGCAGTGTTGCTGCCGGTACATAAAACGGACGTTTCCACTGCAGAACCGTTGTTGTTTCCGCGGTTAGCCCTTCACTTTCACACACACCAACTGATCAACTGGCATTGCCAGGACTTATGATCAAAATAAAAAGTAATCGGAACATGTTCCGGGTCTTAGGCTGGAAAGCATGTTATCCCATGGTGGAGTGGATAAAATAATGATCATTCCAAGATCAGTCATCTTTGGTCTTTGGTAGCTTCCATCATTCAGCAATCATTGCGAAATAAACTGACAAGGATAGCAATGCTCTGATCCCTCTTTCATGATCAACAGGTGCACCATCGCTCAGAAAATGGCGATGCATACCTTACTGGTACCAGGTCCTCTCTACAAATGCAGCAAAAACCTATATTCCAGACTGAAGCAGTATGGCCATACTGAAGAAATCTGGTCTTTGTGGTACTACCGGTACGTACCGTACATGTATACCGTTAGGTGTGAGATGACAATCAGCACTGCTAGCTAGCAAGGTACTCGTACATCGTACCGGTCAGCTAACTCTGAGGTTTGGTAGTGCATGTGTTGATCTCTGCTTTCTAAAAATCGAAGTCAGCAATTTTTAAAGCCACGTTAAACCTTCATCAACAATTCTACAAAGAGGTCATCTGGAAGCCAATGAAAAAGAAGGCTGCGGAATCGCATTGGAGCAATCCAAATTATAGAAAGTGTCTCTGCCTGTCTGCTCGAGCTTTTCTTGTATGCAACCCATGACTGCGTGCAGGATTGGCTTCCCTCCGCCTCTCGTAGCTCCGTATAATAACAGTGGCTCGGACAACTGCCCTAGGGTCACCTAGGAACTAATTTCATAGTGTGAGCATTTCAGTAGACTGGTAGAAACATACGAGTGAACTTACGAGTACAAAGCTACTCCGAGTACATGTTTAACGATCGGAGTCCCAAAATCTGGGAGACCCCACTCCCAGATTCTGGGAGTGGGGTCTCCCAGATTTTGGGAGTCATGACTCCCAGAATCAGGGAGGCAAGCCCCCAGACGCCAAGTTTTCCCGAGAAGAAGACTTCGATTTTCCTGGAATCAAGAATATCTAGGTAGATGTGGGAATAAAATAGTAGTCAAGCCCATTATTTACCGTAACTACCTGCACCCACTCCCAGATTCTGGGAGACCCCACTCCCAAAATCTGGGAGTGGGGTCTCCCAGATTTTGGGACTCCGATCATTAAATGTATTTAAGTATGTACTGAGTACCGTACTCAGTATAATTGTCGCGCTTTGAAAGAATGACTCCATAAATCTTCTTTTCTACTCAAATTTAAAGTGGGTCTTACAAGGAATTGTTTGTACAGTCTTTTCTGAGCGATTTAAAGAGCTTTGTCATCAAGACATGGAATCTTTTGACGCGTCGTGCTTCAAATGTCAGTGACACAAATCAATAATTCCTCCCTTTGCTCTGTTCTCATCAGCTTCTCACCATCAATGTTCCTGGAGCTCCTGAGAAAAACGTCTGTTCGTTCCAAAACTGAGTGACAAAGTGACAAATCATTCGTGCGATGTCAAGAATTAATTTAACTCAGGTATTACAAAGTCCCAGGAGGGATTAAAAAAGTTCGATCAACTCAGTGACACTTTTTGAAACTCGACCTCTGCTGTGCCTTGACTCCATGATTGTCCACATGCCTGCATGTGCTACAGCGTACAGCCTGTGCTCCAGTTGCACCGGCACATGGTGCCCAGGTGCTCTGCTGCAAGCTACCGGTAGCTACCTGTCCCACGCATTTCTGCCTCATACATGTTCCGCACCGGTACCCAGCTTTTTTGCCGTTTGTCTTGGAAAGAGAACAAGACAATCAGAACCAACGCCCACAACTGCACTTCATTCCCAGCTTATAATTTGCTCCAGGCACTCTTTGCTGGATTCGTATGGGCATATAAAGCTCACGGGCCTCTTTTGTAGCTTCTGATCCGAGAAAAGCTGAGCGTCATGGTACAGTAGAATGATCCAAAAGGATGGGAATGAACCGTAACAGACTGAGCAAATAAGTAGCTAGTAGATCTAGGCTAGAACCGGCAAATGAAGTAAACTGGTGTGCATTTGCACTTGTCCAACGGAAAGGAACATTTTGTGTTTCGCTGACAGGAAGCTTGGCGT